GTGGATTTACAAATAGTACTTTAATCAATGCTGTAGTATTAGGAATTTTCACGAACATTGATGTTACATTTTTCTCAACATTCTTATTTTTATTTATTACTTTTTTATTGGGCCGGCATGGCCAGGTGCTTAGGGCGCCCGACTCGCAATCTGAGGGTCGAGGGTTCGAATCTCCCATCCCACCAAACGTGGTTGCCTTTTCAGCCGTGGGGGCGTTATAATGTGACGATAAATTCCACTATTCGTTGGTAAAAAAAGAGTACCCCAAGAGTTGGCGGTGGGTGGTAATGACCTGCCTTCCCTCTAGTCTTTCATTGCTAAATTAGGGAGGCTAACGCATATAGCCCTCGTCTAGCTGTACGAGAAATTCAAGTCAATCTTTTGTATTACCATCGAAACCTTTACTAGTAATTGCATATTATGAATTATTTAGTATTACTTATACATAACCCTATAGCTAAGCAGTAAACGTGAGAGCTTATAACGCTAAATTTTGTGTTTCGATTTTTGTAGTAAGTACAGCTAAGACAGCCGATTATTTAGCTTTGTGGTGGAACAAAAAAAACTTTTATTTAATAGCAAAATACGAAGTAGTCATAGTTGCTGTGTAAGATGAACTATATAAGCTTATAGCATCTTTGTAAAAATGGCTTTGAGAAACAATTCTACCAATACAGTTTTTATAAAACATTTCTTAGTTCTTCCAGTTAGATGTAAGATGGGTTATTAATTGTCTCTAAACGCTTCAAAAACTCTCTGTTTGATAAACCCTGAGTATTACAGCCGATGTCAATAGATTATAATGTCTCCGGATGACATGAAAGCATTCCATAAAATCTTAAAAACAATTTCGGTCGTCCATAACGTCTAAACAATAGTGATAGGACTATATCGTAAAGTCGACAATAATGTGACAACTCCGTTTTTTTGTTCTTGTTTGACAAAACCACCAAAAACTATGAAATTACTCATATTCTTGGGAGAACCATGGTTGATTCCTCGGTGTAGGCAACAGTTGAGTATAAAAAAAAATAAAAACATCTAATTATGGACCCAAACATTTCGTAGTACAGCACAACTCGTGAAAGAGCATTTGTTTGTTTGTTGTTTAGCGCAACGCTACACAATGGGCTATTTGTGTGTTCTGCCCACTGACGGTTCCGAGTTTTAGTGTTATAAGTCCACAGACTTACTAATGGACCACCGGAGGCGTGACAGAGCTAGAGCTAGTAGGATTTGAATATGATGTCGAAAGGTTTGAAGATATTTTTTGACACAAAATTCGGTGCAGATTTCAAAAGGCAATTTCTTACTTGCAACAGACTGGACAGTTTTTTTCCCCAAAAGATGATGAATATAGGACTCCACAGTAAATTTACAAAATTTTACAAGTATACTTCAGTTATGTACCAAACTACTGTTTGATCCATTATTTGATTTCTTTTATTATCTTACTGAAAGATTGCCTTGCGCATTATAATAAAGAAAGTCGTGCATCAACATTTATATACATCGACATTTATTGTCGGGTATTTTGACTAAATAAAAACGAATCTATTGAATTAGTCATCATGTAACCATTCCTACTCTCCAGGCCAGGTGGTTAGGGCGCTTGACTCGCAATCTGATGGTCACGAGTTCGAATATCCGTCCCACCAAACATGCTCGCTCTTTTAGCCGTGGGAGCGTTATAATGTAACGATCAATCCCACTATTCGTTGGTAAAAGAGTAGCACAAGAGTTGGCGGTGGGAGGTGATGATTAGCTGCCTTCCCTCTAGTCTTTCACTGCTAAATTAGGGGACGGCTAGCTCAGATAACCCTGATGTAGCTTTGCGCGTAATTCATAACAAACAAACCTACTCTCCTTCTTGTCACTTCGTTACGTTAACTATTTATAGATAACTTGGCCTATTACAAGCCCAATGATATGAATAGTGGCAAATAATAAAATGCTACCTTACCCTCTTCTTTTCCTTTGAGCCATTTTTGGCTTTTGATATGTTGGGGTGACAATAAAATAACGATTTGAACAAACTATGTTAAATATTCTTGTTTCGAATTACATTTTCTTTCCTTTTAGCCACTTGGTATGTGTTTTGTAAACCATGGAATATAATTAGTTCTTAGGGAGTTCACTGTGTATTGATACCTTGGGTGCTTACAACTAGAGATAGTACTGCATTTCTTATACGTTGAACAATGTACTTTTTTGGCCCTAACTGCTTTAGAAATTGACATCGCAAGTAACAGGTAAATGATGAGGACGACTTCAATTAGTCAAATTACAATTCTTCATGAGATTAGCTAAAGAGAACTTGACTAAGTAGACAAAATTTGTGCTACCTAAACTAGTCGGATGTAACCTATATTAAATATTTTACCTCTCATTGTGCCAAGAAAACGTCGTTTCTTGTGTGTGTGTGTGTAACGTCGTTTCTTGTGTGTGTGTGTGTTGTTTTTTCTTGTTTACTCTTAATATCCAATCTTACTCAATACGTAAATAGACAAATGGTTACTAACTTTATTGTGGTCATTAGTAGAAGGGCAAATATTGTTCCGTTATCTGTAGACACAAGGGTTGATGATGGTAACTTGTTAGCTTAGCCTATATTTTGCTACAACCGTTAATGAGCGAGTTCATTTAAAAAATACAGTCAAGAGACACGGGGAGGAAGGTAAATTGTAAATGAGGTATTACTTAAGATAAACAGGTCTTACAATAATACATGTTAAATGTTCCGTCATTTCTATCTATACACACATTTTTTTTTTAAGTATTCAGTTCCTTAAGTTACTTTCTGTGTTTGTTTATGCATTTCTAAGATTTTTCCAGTTTTCCAGTCATAATTACAAACACATTTCCAGAAATGTTCAGCTACAGTAGAAGACGTTGTGTTATCATGTTTTATGTCATATTGATGTTCTTTCAATCTTGTTTTAATTTCTTTCTTGTTTGTCCTATGTACATTTTACTGCAACTGCAACTGACTTGGCAAATTCCATCTATATGTATTAATTTTTTTTGGATTTTTGAGTGTTTGTAATTGGTTGACAATTTTGTTTTGAAAAACGAATGCTACTTTATAATCCTTTAATCGGAATGCTTTAGTAAAGTTTTCCGAAATCACAAGAAAAAATATTATATTACGAACTTATTTTGTGGTGCTTTTAATGTTCATTTTTTTACTCTTAATATAGTAGAACAATGTTCCTGAAAATAAATTAGGATTAGATATAAAATGTTAATAAGTGTATTATTATCAGGACATATGTACTCTAGATAATCAGCACGTTCAGTCAAAATTTAAGGGTGGGAAGGTTAATATTTTTTCTAAATTCACTTTAGTATACGAAATATGTTCTAAAAGAACTGTAATTTATATATCCTAAAATATTATAAACGCGGAATATTAATAATTTGAAATAAATTAAAAAGCTCTTACGTTGCTCTGACAGTCAATTTTTGTATGAACAATTTCAAGTATGAAAGGTGAAATAAAACAGTTAATTAAGCAACCATTAGCTTCACAAGGTATGCATACTATATTTTATGAGATTTGATAGAAACAGAACTAGCTAATAATTGTTATGTTGATCATGTATGTACCTATATATATCATAAACAGTGACTACATCTCGACCGACGGTGACATCATTCTAGCAGTCTATGTATTTTTCCTCTAATGACACTGGCCTGCGAATTTAAGCTTCATAAAAGTTGTTGTAGTTTTAATAACGGATTTTCCATAATTCAGCAGATTTCGAAAATAATATTCTTTTTTTTTCTATCACGTAAGGATTTTTTACAAATCGGGAAGAAAAACTCATACTTAGATCAAATAATTATTTCGTTTACCACAATGAACATTTTTTATTATAACTATATTTGCTTACTTACATGAACATTTTATGTTATCATGTTTGTTAACAAAAATACAAGCAAACTGAAGAAAAGGGAAGAACATTGATGTTAAACGAATATACATCCTCATTCATCCTGATTTATTTTTGTGAAATATACGTCTTTTAGTCTCAAAACTACGTGTTGTGGTTTTTTTTTATGTATTGCGTTATGACGTTTTATGAAAAATCTGTACATGATGGAGAAAAATGGATATCATATTCGGATTCAGCGTATGGGAATTACTGTAGAACATGGAATAATTTCAAGACAATAAAACTATCGCAAGCCTGTGTTAGTCAAGGTGTGCTGGCATTTAAATATATATACCAGTCATATGGCTCAGTCTAACAAGAAAATACGGCTAATTTTGCTCTAAAAACCTTGGCAAAATGTTAACCGTATCTCACTGCGTTATATTTATACAAAGTATGATTAACGGAAATTAAGAATGTTTGTAGCATGTGATTCTAGAAAAAACTGTTTAGGGTACAAAAATCGAAGCGTAATTCTAATTTCTGTGTTTTTATCTTTTTATTTAAGAAGTCAGTAAACATAAGTATAACGTTTCATTGTTGTTTCATATTCTTAACAATGTACACAAATTTTGGGGCATTTTAGATAAGAATATACCTTGAACTTTTACTCTTACAATATGTTATACACCCACACAACTGCATTGATATCTTTATCTTAAAAATCTTTCTTTGCATGATAAAATGTAACCTTGTAGAAAAATATTTGACAAAAAATATTATAAAGGTGATATTTCAATGTCTATTTCCAACTGTATATGAGCTTATTGCTTAGCTCATTGCTTAGCTTACCCGTACAATAAATCCAAAGATTCGCAGTTCACGACTAGATGCAGCAAAAAACACACTCAACATTTGGGGTACGCTATAAAAGATACGGTCAAATTCTAACCGTTTGATAAGAAAAAAGTAGTTCATGAGTAGATAATTGATGTTTTTGATTGGCTGTCTTTTAACCAGTCTATCACTTCAAAATTACAGACACTGTAGACAGATGGTCTTTCTATGGCTTTGGGGAATATTCTGAAACAAATCAGTTGATGCACATGTAATTTTGTTACTTTAGTGCAACATATATTAAGGTATAAAACTAACACCGGTAGTTTAATAGTTTGCCATAAAGTATAATATTGTTCTGATGCCATTGCAAACATTTCTCTCATGGTAGCTCAAGAACGCTTTAATTGATCACTTTTACATTTTCGAAATATGTTTGTTTGTTTGGAATTAAGGACAAAACTACACAATGGACAATCTGTGCTCTGCCGACCACGGGTATCGAAACCCAGTTTCTAGCATTGTAAGTCCACAGACATACCGCTGTGCCACTGGGGACTTCTAAATATGGATGAGTCAAATATTTCAAATTTACATAACTGCCACTAGAGGGAGCACTTATAGGAAATTGCCTAAAACGACATTATTATATTTAAGTGATCTACCTAGCAAAATAAAATTTAAAAAATTGGTTTTACTGTGCAAGCTTACAGTGTTTAAAAAATAGTTCAAGCTACTATATTCAATACAGTAAATATTTTAAATATCTTAGATCTGAAGGTTATTATTTTTAATAATATCTTAAATTCGTGAGCTAAAGCTTATACTACACAATTCAACTGCTAAACTCTTAGTAGAGACAGCAAGTAATAAAAAAAGCATATCGCTTACCCCACGATAATTTAACGACACTTTTTAATTCATTTAAAAAGTATTTCAGAGTCATAAATATAACCAACTAAGTAACAATACCACTCTTAACGTTTCAATTGTGTGGCCTAAACAACAACAACAAAACAAAGCTTAGATTATCCGACTAATCTATTTGATTCTTGATTTGATATTATTTGATTCATTTTTGTTTTTTTCTCACAAAGATACTGCGTTTTAATTAATATTTTTTTATGGAGGATATGAACATGTTTTTTTTGTGTCTATAGTCTGGCTAAAAATACTTAGCTGGTTTACTGCACGCATACACTTTTTGACTCGCTGGTTTCACCATGTCGGGATTTCCTGAACAATTTATATATTATTATAGTTTGTTTTGAAGAAAATGATTGGATTATCTGCTTTTGTATGCGTCCTGACTTCCTGAAAAATCCACCCACTGTTTTTTTTTCTGTCACATCTCGAGCATCTTAGTGTCAGTCGAATGAAGAGAAAAAATCGATGCATATAAAAACACATATATATTAGCCATCGGAGGCAAAGACAGACATTCGACCTGGAACAGAAAATAAATGTAAATTTAAAAAGAAGATATGCCAAAGTTTATTAATCAAAAGGATCACAGAGTTAAAAACACACAAGGAAATCATTTGCATATCACAGCTCCAAAATATTGGTGGGATGATCAGGCAGGCGTGTTGGACAATCCTTTAACATCATAGTTTGCATAGATAACCTCAAATAAACTTCAAAAGCTTGGTGTACGACAAACAAACAACTGTTTTACAGAAAACAAAAGTATTTTCTGTAGTGCGCTGCAATTATGGTAACTACTCCTAGACATTGATAAAGAATAAAACAAAAACAAATCAAATGATGTTTCGAATAAATCCTACAACGTTTCTGAGTACGTCCTTTTTTGAAACAAAAACACGTCCCTCAGTAGCCAAGGAGTGTCTTTACACTATACTTTGTTGAATATTAAAAGTAAGTTCAATCCGGAAACTTCCAAAGAGGGTGGTTTTTGTCGTATCTTTTCAAGACAACTTCGAGACAATTTTTCGTTTTTTAATTGATAAATTTTAAAGTGAAATACGGCATCCTCAAGTCTCCATACTAGCTAGTACTAAGGTCTATCCGTTAGGAATAAATTCAGTATAAATCAATAAAGCCACATCATTAATTAAGCAATTGTCAACCGTTTATGGTTCTGCTATCACCTTTTTATGTTTAGCTTGCAATTGAGATACGAACGATTTTACCTGTGATTCGGTAGGGAAGGTCGAAGCATCACTATTGTCAGCAGTAGAATGAGCAGACAGGGACACTTTGAAAGCAGCTACAGGCATAATATTGTACTCTGCTTGCTGCACAATATCTACCAAGGTGATTCTAAACGGTTCCTGAATATTTCTGCATGTCATATGGAGACTTCCATTCTTATTGTGCTTGGCCGTTAAGCTAGTGACGCCCTGACGGATTTCAGTCATCTTACCACTTCAAATCAATTTTCGCAGCCCCAACGCTAAAAAGAGCGGGAAATGGTTATTTTTAGCCAATAAAATGTAAAAAAAATGTCAGCTCAAATTAAGAAATACCGAATTGGTTATTTCTTTTTTTTTCAACAAAAATGTCCCCCACTGGCTCGTGAGGGGCCTTTTAAAAATGATAATAACAATTTTCAGTTATAATTATTAAAGAATAGAAAATCATTTCATCATACTATATTATCTATGAAAACCACAGATGATAAATGATAATAACCTTATGAATTTCTCAGATAAGTTAGTAAACTAAACAAGATTCACATTCACTGTCACTTTATCTTCACGAGTTGGGAATTCGAGTGGAACACAAGTGTATTAATGTTTTTTGTTTTTTTTCTCTTACAGAACTTGTTTTATAATTTTAAAATTATTTGTTTGATTTTACTATAATTAACATAATGTGATCCTGGCTTAGCTATATTTTTGTTTCTTAAACAAACTTTTAAGGAAGGAAAAAGTTTCTCTAATCTAACAGCTGACTTCATAAATTGTGACAAATCCAGCTTTTATTATAGTGAAACTTATGAGATTCTATAATTCGCTGTTATGTTTTTTAGAAAGTGCATTCATTGTTTGAAATCATAAGATGTTGATTTTAGTTACGTCTGTTGAATTTACCAATACAGAATATGTAAAGCTAATTCTATGTGTGTTACAATTTTAAAAAATGGTTACACAAACCTACCTCTGCACTAGTTATGATATTTTAGTTACGTCTGTTGACTGTACCAATACAGAATATGTAAAACTAATTCTCTGTATGTTATGATTTAAAAAAATGGTTACACAAACCTACCTTTGCACTAGTTATGATATTTTAGTTACGTCTGTTGACTGTACCAATACAGAATATGTAAAACTAATTCTCTGTATGTTATGATTTAAAAAAATGGTTACACAAACCTACCTTTGCACTAGTTATGATATTTTAGCATTTGCAGTACCATGTTATATTTAGCGTTAGTAAGATTGTATGCTGAACAATAAATTATTATATGTAGTATTTTTGATAATTTTCTTTTTTAACCATACCTTTGATTGAGAACATAAGTGGAGTTCAAAATACTGAGAAAAGCGACAATTAGAACCTTTAAGATATGTACTTGAGATCAGAATTACTAAACTTAAGGTCACTAATGTGTTAATTACAATGATCAATTATGAAACACATAATAGTTTCATTATAGTATCAATAATTCATTTATGAATACGGTATTTCAGACAAGAGTTGTATTTCACTGTAGTTGTATTCCACCTACAATGACGGCCATGCCTAGCTTAAAACTGGTCAGGTTGTAAACAAACCTGATCTCATGAACTAAACATTTAAAGTGTTATCCATACACATTGTGGAAACACATATGTGAATGAAACCCATTATTGAAACATGAATACAAAAATAGGAATCACTTTATTTAAGATTGTTACATGTTTGTAGTTAAGCACAATATTCCACTATGGACTATCGGTGTCGTGCCCACTACAGGTATCGATACCCGATTTCTAGCGTTATAAGTCCGCAGGCGTGTCGCTGTGCCACTATGGGGCATTGTTGTATAATACACACACATATATATATACAAGTATCTCTTTTTATATCACAC